TCTCACATTTCTCCGTATCTGTCCTACTTATTCTTTCTTTCTTTCTTTCTTTCTTTTTTTTATTGAGATATATTTGAGTTTGAGTCACATCCTCCATTCTCTCACCCATCCCTTATGTTCCCCATCCTCTCCCCAGGCTCTGTTCCCACCACCTTTCCCTGTCCTTGGCACCTTCATTCAGTGCCCACTCTGTCCCTCCCCTCGCCATTGGCTGCAGTGCATGTCTTAGGATGAATTTCACAATCTCTAGCTGTCTGTAGATTTTCTTTGCCCCTTCTTCAGGATCCCTCCCTAATCAGTTCTTTGTAAGTACTAGGAATAGGATGCAGAGAACATATCCTAACAGTGTTCTGAGTCCAAATTAATTGAGTGAGACCTAGTGAGCATTGATGTAAAGTCTTACAGTTGAGTACAAGAAATAAAATTCACAAGTACAAGAGAAGAGATATTTCTCTGAGAAAAAATCTGAGCTTTTTAGTGAATTAAAAACTCAATATGAGTCAACTGTGTCAAATGGTGGCCAAAGAATGTAACTCCATCTTGGACTACACTTGCTAAGGACAGGGCAGTATCTAGGATGGGAGAGATGCCAGCCCAGGTGGGCTCTGCCTTCCCTCATCAGACCTCACCTGGAGCGTTGTTGGATATTCTGGATACCACATTTTAGGAAGGCCATTGATGAGCTAGAGAGGAGCTGGAGGAGGGCAGCCAGGATGAGGGAAACTTATTATTTCTTGTAGCACGGTAATATTCCACTAGGTTTATGTACCATAATTTATTTAACCATTATCCATTTGATGGACATCTACTTGTTTGCAGTTCTTTGCAACTACAAAAAGTTCTGTTAAATATTTTTGGTGTATATAGGCCTTTCTTTTTTATCATTTATGTCCTTGGGGTGTATGCTTTAGCTCTATGATAAACTAAATTCCTTTGTTTAGTTTTTAAGGTCTTTTACCTGAATCTAACCTATCTTTTCACTCTCATTGAACATTGCCCCTCTCTTGCACTCTTCAGTACAGCCACACTGGCCTTCTCTTTGTTTCTCCTGCACACATTCCATTTCCCATCTCTATTTTCCATGGCTATACCTCATGCCTGGAATGCACTCACTCCTTGCCTTTGCTTTATGAAGTTTCTCTCCTCTTTTTTTTTTCTCTCTCCTCTTTCAAGGTGCAACTCAGGCACCTACCTTCTACATGAAGCCTTTTCTTATAGCTTCCAACTGCTAGTGTACTCCCTCCCAGACTACCTTGTAACGAACTATTTTGTATATATTTTTACCTTAACAGTGTATATTTTTATGTAAATGTTGTGTTCCCTCATTAGGATGTAAGCTCATTGCGAGTACAGATTTTCCTTCCTTTTTACTTGTATCCCCAGTGCCATAGCACATAGTAGGTACTTAATGAACACTTGTGGATTGATTTCTTTTTTAATAAACATTTTAGTCATTTTCTTAGTTATACTAGTTCACAGCTCTACCAGTAGTGCATTTGTATGCCTGTCTTTCTATCAGCCCTTAACTGTCATTGCCAGTCTACAAGGTGTGAGGTGAATCTCAGAATTGTTTTGGTTTGTCTTTCTCTTATTATTAGTAATGTAGTGTATTCTTTCATACAGTTGTTAATAGTTTGAAATTCTTCTTTTAACAACTCTTGATATTTAGCCACTTTTCTATTGAGGAATGGTTTTTGGTCTTATATATTTCTATTAGTTATCTATATATCTTATTACCAGATCTTTATCAGAGATATATGGTAGAAAAAAATTTTTTCCCAGTCATTTCCCTTCTTATCCTAGTTGCCTTAATTTTGTTCCTGCAAAATCCTTTCAATTTCACGTGATTGAAGTAATCTACTTTGTCTTTTGTAGTCATCTCTATCCTTTGTTCGATTTAGAATTCAGTTCTTAGCCATACCTGTGAAAGATACCTGATTTGCTTCTCTTCTGACTTTTTTTATGGTGTGACCTTTAATGTTCAGGACATATAACCAATTTGAGTTTAATGTGGCATGTGGTATAAGATCTTGGTTTTAACTATGTTTCTTCCATACTACTTTCTAGTTTTTCCAGCAATTTTTGTTAAATAGAAGCTTCTTGCCTGGGAAATGTATGTTTTCAGGTTTGTAGAACACTAGGTTATTTCTGATTTTTTTTTTACTTTGTTCTATTAATATATCTTTCTGGTTTTTTGTTCTTGTTTTTTTTACCAGGACCAAATGGTTTTGATTATTACTATTTCATAATATATTGTGATGTCTGGAATTTGAGGTCTGCTATTTCCATTTCATTCCTGTCTTTTTTTCATTGTGTCCCTTGATATTCTAGAATTTTTTTTCTGCAAATCTTTCTATTTTTGTCTTGTTTTGTAGTTTGATAGCACTGAATTTAGGTTGCGTTGTCATTATTGTCAAAGCATGATCCAACATGAGGACTGACTGTTACTCGAGTTGCGTAAGTTCTTAATCAGAGATACTGTCTTTTCTGCCACTTCTTATATGCAAGTCATCATTATAAATATGTTACAGTTCTTCATAATTACTGTGGGATTCTTAGTTGTGCTTTCAGTCACTTGTAGTTTTGTTTCTTCAGAGTTTATGTCCTGTGATCCATAGTCCTACAGCATTACAGGACAGGATATTAGGGTTAAGAGAATGTGTTTTTGTTTCAAGGATTAGCTTGAAATTTTAAAAAATGCTACACAATTTCCTCAAAGAAAATTAGCCTGCTTTCTTCCTCTTATTCAATTCTAGACCTAGGCATTCCTCATCTGCAGTGGCTGTGTACAATCAGTGTACTAATGGACTCTTTGTATGGTCTCTTCATCCAAGTGTGTATCCCTGTCTCCCAGTCTGAACAGTACCTGTTCATCTACTTTGTTTTTCCTGCATGGATTGTTAAAGGTTTATCTCTTATGTCTAGTTCTAAATGATTTGGAGAAGTCTAAGAGAAGTCTGAGAGATGTTATTTGCCTCCAAGGAGCTTGGGGGACAAAACAAACAGGATACAAATGGAAGAATCAAAAGCAATTCAGCATACTAAGTCACAAAGTTTTAAGTGTTAAGAGCCTGAAGATTAGAGACAAGTACTGTAGGCATGAGAGTAATCTCACAAGATTACAAGGAAGTGCTAGTAAAATATCAATCAGTCTTTCTACCCTTCACATACAGTGTTCATTGCTGCCTCCACGCCTTAATCATATTATCTCACCCATCTGAAATATCTTTTTTTCCCTTCAAATATAACAACTCTTTCAGAGCTGCTCTCCTTCTTACCCTTGTAAATAGAGTCCCTGGTTCTGGGAAGGAACTACACCAGGTTCAGAGTACACTACAGGTTCCTACTACTAAATCTGTGGCTCATGAGTCTCCATTGGTGCATTCACATTTAATAGCCAATTGACATAGTTAGCTCAAAGCAAAGGTCTTTACTGAAATTTTATATAAGGAGTGATTGCTTTTCTGGAATAATTTGAGTATACTTCTTCCTTATAAGACTGAATGATTTCAAGGACACTGAAAAATTCTGTGATTCTAATATATGCACACAGAGCTCCCAAACTACCTTGTGCAATCAGTTCAATTAAAAATGCATTGATTAAGTTCCTAATAGCATGAACAATAGTATCAAAACATTTCCACTATAAACATGGAATGTACTGAAGCAGTAATCATCAAACTAGTTGGTAACACATAGGAAATACACAAACAAGTGAGTAGAATAAACTGAATTAGCAGGCATCACCTAGTGCTCTATTAACCTGAGGACACAAAATATTTGGAAAAGAACTCCCTATGTGATAAGAACTACTGGGAAAGCTGAAAAGTAGTTTAGTAGAAATTTAGGTTTAGAGTAGCTTGTGTGTGTGTGTGTACATATATGTACACACATCTATCTATATGACAATACCAGCTTGTACCGTGTTGCAGTAGGCTTAGAATGGATATGGAACATGAATGTGAATGGTCATGCCATGAAAAAGATTATGAATGAAGGAAACTGAGTACCTTTCAAAACAATGAAACTTTGACTGGGGTAAGAATTCTTAATCAAATGAAGGCTGCAGGATACCACAAAAGACAAAATAGGCAGTTTTGACTCCACGAAATTGAAAAGCTTTTTTATCAACAAAATCAATGCACTTAGGAAAAAGCAGGAAAAGTTTCCGTTTTAGAAAAAGCTGGCATGTCAAATATTACTGTTACTTAATGTCTAAGATGTGGAAGGAATTAACAAATGAACGTATCACAGAAAGAGACATTTCCCATTGCAAAAATGATCTAAGTTTGTGAACAAAGTTTCTCAAAAGAATTGCAAAATATTAACCTTAATGAAAATTTGCTCCAAATCACTAATAGTAAGAGAAATGTAAATCAGAACTTTGAGGTTTCACATTATACTCAGCAAATTGGCAAGGATGGTAAAATATGTAAGAAGTCAATGTTGGAGGAGCTACGAGAAGACCAGTGCAATAAATTACTGTGGAATTGTGAATTGTTTCAACCATTCTAAAAAGTAATGTGGAATTAAGATGCAAAAGAGACTGAAATTTCTGTAATCTTTGACCCAATGATCCCATTTCTGGCATATTCCCTAAGTATATAATAACAAAAAAGAAAAAGGCCCCTAGCCACACCAGCGTATTTATAGCCATACTTCTTACAGCACCAAAGAATATTAAAGAAATTAGATGTCTGTAGATTAAGGAATAGTGTGATGGTATTCTACCATAAGAAACAATGAATGTGATAAATTTCCAGAAACATCTGAAGACTTATGTGAACTGATAAAAAATTAAATAATTAGAACTAGTAAAACAATATACTCGATGACTGTTAATGTAAAGGGAAACAACAAAACAGAACAAAACCCTGAACTTGAATGCGGCATAATTAAAATGACTAATCTTACTCCTAACTAAGTGTTGGGGGAAAAAAAAACACTTCCCTCCCTTCATTGTAGAGGTGGGTGATTAAGGATGTGCAATATACTGTCTAACACAGTAAATATGCTGGTTGAGTTTGATACGTCCTTTTTCTTTTTGTAATCTTTGTTACCAAGAATTAGTTCAATGAATAGGCTTAGATGAAGGGAAATATTTAGAAATGAATGTAATATAAAAAAAAATATTAAAAACTTCCCTGCCAACTTCTTGTACAACTGCTTTACTCTCTTTAGACTACTCCTTTCCTTTGTTACTGAATAATTTTTACTTGTATTTAGGTTTTCTTGAGAACTTTTCCTCCCTGTTGGACAGGCTTCCATGTAATCCCTTCCATGAACCCTTTAAAATCTTCTCCTTGAAAGCCTGGAGTATATGTCAAACTTTACTTGGATTTCCTTTCCTTCCCTAACACAAATTCTAAAATAAAGATGTGCTTTGGAGATAGGGAATGCATGTAGCCATCAGGAAAGGGGCAAAGCTTTGAGGAGACAGATTAAATAAAAAAAAAATAGTTCTGCATTTTGCCACTTGCATTGATACTTCCTACAAGACTTGACTCCCCATTCCTGCAACTAGTTTGCTATTTCTTTTGGATTTTGGTGCTCAAATAGTGATGTTTTACCTGACTTAAAGTTTTTAGGAATCACAGTATTGTAGTTCTCATTTTTAATTTTTTTCTTATTAGAAATGAGAGAAAACAAGCCATTCTGCAACATTGAGAAGACAAGTAAACAGTTCTAGTAAACTCAAGCCAAATTAATATTCTAGAATATTATTACCTAGAAAACAGTTTAATAAATCTATCACTTCCTTCAGTAACTAAGCAACTATAGTTATGAATGATTTTCATTTTTACTCTCATTAAAAATTGCTACATTTGTGCAATTGTCCACCCAAAAGGGGTGATGCTATAATTAAAATGTTTATCCGTTTTTTGGTTTTAATCAAAGATATCGAGCTGTTTGGAGATACAAAATTACAGCATTTTATAATTAAAACTTTGTTGTCTTTTTAGTTATGTCTCAGCCATGGTACCAGTAAAATCGCCAAAAGAATATTATGTACAACAGGAGGTAATCGTGCTTTTTTGCGAAACAGTGGAGAGGTAAGAATATAACAGATAAATAACTAATTCATTATGCTTTTTATTTCCCACAGTTTAGTCTTTTGTAGGATTAGCAAATAACTGATGATTATGAAATATTATTTCCTAAGGGATGAGATAGAGGTATGAAATATTATTTCCTAAGGGATGAGATAGAGGTGAGGATGGGGGCAGTTCTGCTTTTATGTGGAGCATGAAAACTCAGAATCATTACTTTTAGCTACTTAGGATCTAGCTAGGTCAATGTTGAAAATTTTGAATATTTTTCTTGTGGAGCCCCATGTTAAATTATTTAGCTATAGATAAAGTGGCAGCCAGTCAGTCAACAAGCATTTATTACACATTTACTATGTGCCAGACACTGTGCCTAATATTAGAAGTACAAAGAAAGGTAAACACAGTTTAATGGAGTCAGCAGTTATCAGCAAAAACTAAAACAGATGGGAAAGATGGGTTGAATCTAATAAGATTAAATTTAGTGTTCACTACTTCACGGATCTCTGCCATTGAATCAGTTTAGTTTGACAACAGCTTTCAATATGTATAGGATACTCTAGATAGACAAAAATGAAATAACCATTGCTTTTAAGGAGCTTATGTTCCATTGAAGCAGATTTCAGGGGAAATGGACAGGAAATAGACTATAACCTTACCTAAGGAAATAGGAGGTCATTTGGGGAGGGAGAGAATATTTAAAATGCAGGGGTAGGGCCTGAGGTGTATCAGAAAAGACTATGTATTTGGTGGGTGAGGCTCAAATGCAGAAAAGGATCTATGAGGTGCCATTGTAGATAATGGGGACAGATTCTGTGATGGCACAGAGACCAAGGAATCTTGAATTTGAGTTATGTTCACTGAAACAGAAAAGATATGAAGAGAAATATGAAATGAGTTGGGAAAAGTAGACAGGAGCCAGATTATAGAGGGCTTTAAATGTCAGGCTGAGAAATTCATATTTTATCCTTGAGGCAGTAGGGAGCCAGTGGAGGTAAATGAGCAGTGAAATTACTTAGTCAGACTTGTACACTAGGAAGGATATTTTAACAACTATGTGAGTATAGAATTAGAGGGAAGAAAGGCAGGAACTAGAGAAGCTAATTAGGAAGCTAGTACAATAGCCGTGGCTGGAGGGGATAATGGCCAGGACTGAAGTCATTGTCTAAGTGGAGAAAGAGGACAGATTATGTCCCTATCCACCCAACACTTTGTCATCCCTCCCAACACCTGGTCCTTTGGGACTTCAGGACCATTTGATCTTCCTTAAGGTGATCTTGCTTCTATGTGGTAGCCCTCCCAGTTAGAGCTTGAACTCCTGGACAACAGGGACCATCTCACTTTTTCTTTTTGTACTCTCAGAGATTAGTACTTGGCTTTTCATTTGACTTATTTGCAAAACATTCCTGCATTGGTGAGCTGGTTTGGGAAGTAAAGGACTCTACTGTGGTTCCCTTCCCGATCAAAATTTAAAAGGTTTTAGGTGTTAACAATGACATTGCAAGGGATTGTGGGACGGGGGATACAGCTATAAGGTATCAGTTATTAACAGTGACATCACTACGGAAAATGGCGAGCTGAGCTCTGACACTAAGTGCCTTATTTAAGGTTGTTTCCTCCTAATTTGGTCGGGTAGGGGAGTGGGGGAAGGGTTTTGCATTTGAACCAGTGAATTGGTTAAAAAAAAAAATGGCAGCCTTCATTTTATTTTTTTCCCTCTTTCATGAAATTGCAAGTTTTCTTACTGTTCATTTGTATATAATCTACTGAAAAAGTAACAAGTTATTAATAATTTCCTTTTTTTAAAATTGGCTAGAGCTCTAAAGCTTGGATACCTCACTCAAGACATGATTGATGACTATGAACCAGCATTAATGTTTACAATTCCAAGATTAGCCATTGTATGGTAAGTATTAGGCAATATTTGGGAAGCTCTGCTATTTCATTTGGTTCCTTTGAAAAAGTCAAATCATTTTGAGGAAATCTGGTGATATGGTGTATAAGACAACAGAAACCAGGATTGTTTTAAGGTGATATTAAATAATAACTGCATTTTGCATAGAATTTTGTGCTTTTCAAAGAACATTGACTTATATTTTAATGTTTATTCTTTTCAGCAACTTTTTGAAGTAAGTAGTGCAAATATTACTATCCCCATTTAAGAGATGAAGATAATAAGGCATAGAAAAGTTAAGTGACTTTGCACGAAGTCACACTGCTCATTAGTAATACGACCAGAATTAGGACCAAGGCTCCTTGATTCTTAGTCTAATTTTATTTACAAAATGCCAAAATACACCCCAAAAGATAAATTACCACCACTTTTTTTAAACCATGGAAGTAATCTAGTGTGATATAGGGAATGAAAGACCTTTTACAATATTACTGTTTTGCCATCATGTTGTATCTTGAAAATGGAATGCTTGATGTTTTATGACAAAGGTGGATAGTGACTCCAGGAAAGCACTGGAGCTTGGTCATACAAAGCTGTAAGTAATAGGTAGAGTCCCCTTCCAGTGTAAGACATAGGATGGAGCACAGGTCTGATCACGTTGCAGGCTGCCCAGAAAATAAGATCAGAGACAAACAGGAATCTACTACAGGAGTCCCAGAAAGAGTCAAATCTCAGAGCCAAAAGAGCAATATAGAATTGTCCAAAACGACGGGTTCAGGATCTTCTGTTGAAAATGAGATGGCAACCATCAGGAAGTAGAAATACACTGAATCATGGTGCTGACATATATACACTGTAGGGGTTCAGGATAAATTATACTAGGGAAAAGCAGTGGGAATTATTCTGTCTTAAATCTCTCATTTGCCAAATCTGATGGCCTCCTCTCAATCCTCCTCCTCTGCAGCATTTGTCAGTGTTGACCACCCTTGCCTCTTTGATGCTCTCTGCTTTCCATGTTTCTTTGATATTAGTCTCACACTTATCTGACCCTTTTTCATTGGGCCTCTATGCAGGTTTATCATTATTATCCCACGCTCTGACTGTGGGTATCTCTCTAGGCTCTGTCCTGTCCTCCCCTCCAATTCCCTGTTCTCTCCTCTCCTCTCATTTCCTCCCCTGTCCTTTCTTT